CCTCCCTCCGCCGCTGTGCGAGGGGGCGGGAGAGGCCGTAGGGGGAGGGGGGGAGGGGAGGAGGGCATGAGAGGAGGGGGGAGGAGGCGTGAGGGGCCGTGAGGGGGGAAAGCGGGAGGGCGTAAGGATCCGCGTTGAGGCGAGGGGGGCGAGGGGGCGCGGGTGGGCGCAGGTGAGTCGCGCCTGTCATGCAAGGCCGAGGCCCCGAGAGCCCTCTGGGATTCCTCTCGGGGCGCCACCGCCCGCCTCGCCCTCCTGTTCAATGGCATCGGGTCCTCCATCGCATGCGCTTTAAATAACGGCTGTAAATTGCGCCAAATAAGTCATTAACGGCAGCAGACCTGTTTACTGGACGAGAACAGCCGTAATCTCTCTTGTCCGTCCCCCCCCCCCCCTGCCCGAACGCCCATCGCGGCCGAGTTTAGTCTGCCGCGGCCTCTCCTTACGCGCACAAGAGTCTGCAAATAGTCGAGGAGGTCCTCGGGTCCAGCGGTCATCGGGTCCGCCCTTACCCCCTCCCCCCCTCCCACCCCGCTCCTGAAGCAATGCCGTTGTGCAGAGACGGAGAGAGAGGGTCGTGTGCCGTGTGTAGGGGGGTGAAGGAGGGGGAGGGGGAAGGGGGAAAGGAAAAGAGAAGGGAAAGGGAGGGGGAGGTGGAGGGGAAAGGGGAAGGGGGAAAGGAAATAGGAAGGGGAGGGGAGGGGAGAGATACGCGGTAGCGGAAGAGGCAGGCGATCTCGGTTCCGTTTAAAGGGAAATGAAGCAGATGCGCCCTGTGTCATTTGCTCGTCTGAAGGTTGCCGAATCACGCCACGTGGTCTCGGATCCAAAACAAGGCGCTCTCTCTCGCTCTCTCTCTCTCTCTCTCTCTCTCTCTCTCTCTCTCTCTCTCTCTCTCTCTCTCTCTCTCTCTCTCTCTCTCTCTCTCTCTCTCCCATTCTAGGTTTTTCAAAAATATATAAAATATATTACCAATTGGAAATGCACAGATTGACAGGCATTCACAAACAAAACACGCACGCACGCGCGCGCGCGCGCACACACACACACACACACACACACACACACACACACACACACACACACACACACACACACACACACACACACACACACACACATACACATACACATACACATACACATACACATACACATACACACATATACTCATATACACATATACACATATACACATATACACATATACACGTATACACATATACACATGCACATACATACACATACACACATAAACACACATACACACATACACACATATGCATATATATACACACATGTAGATAGAGAGCTAGACAGACAGATATGAAAACCCCAGAAGCGAACAGGAACCGCAGTCCCGTCTCGCCGTTTCGCCGCGCGCGGGAAGGCTCCTGCGGCCAGCCTCCGCGCAGCCTCCGTTGCGGCAACCACCGCCGCCTGAAGATCCTCCTCGAAGCCAAACGGATAAAAGCGAAACTGAGCCGAAGAGCGAGTGTTCGAGGGACCGGAAGCGGATGTCTGAGCGCGCGAGACAGACTGAAAGGGAGACAACGGAGGACGGGGGAGATAGGGACGGGGGGGAGGGAGGGGGAAGGGTACTCCCAGGAGAAGAAAATCAATAGGCCTATGACGCAGCCATTCATGACGTCACGGGGTCGTTGAGTCAAGTCCCCGTTTTTGTGACTTTCGTTTCGGGCGGACTTCGTGGGGACCTGTCACGCGGCCGCCGGCGGCGAGGAGAGGTTAAAGCGCCCCGAGTGATGGCCGGAGTTCCCTTCACTCCCGCGGGAAGAGAGGAAACCTTGAGGAAGGTCTTGGGACGCGTCGTGGCGGGGAGAGGGGGGGGGGACGCCGGCTTGCACGAGGCGCCCTTGCAGTGCGGTTGCGGCGTGGCGGCTGAGGGCAGACGCCGGCCATACTACGCTTTCTGTCGTAATTGTCTCCGTGGAAACTGGAGGAATAGATGGCTTATTTATCGATTTTTTCCATTATTGTCTTTCATTTTCTGAGGAATTTACTTTGTGGGACCCAGCAGCTAAAGGGTCTGTTATGTACTTGCATGCATATATTGGAACGCATCAGACAAGATAACCTGTCAACATCATCCGCTTTGAAGCTTCAACGGAAAGGCGGCCACATCAAGCACTGCTTCCGTGCAGAGCATCGTCTCCAGAAGGACGCCGAGGGAGGAAACCTGAGCGGCAAGCAGAGCCGGAGCTTCCGTTGCACTGCCGGAGGACGCTGCCGCATGGACGTTGATGTACTCAGTGAACTTGCAGCCCGAGACCCGCCCGAATGCGCATACGTCCGTCCACCTTGGCGCTCGTCCGCGATGGCTCCCGCGCCCTTCCGCACCTTCTCTCCGCTCTCTTCTGCCTCCAGGGGCGTCCCCAGACCCCTGGCGGAGACGCGGCGGTGGCCCACGGCGAGCGGGGAGGCGTTTCGGGCGGCCGGGCTGCGAAATGCGGGAGTGGACACGTGGTGGCCGGTTCTGGGGGCGCCTGCGTCGCGGTGTTCGGTTCCGTGTGCGAGTTCGGGCGACGACCACGTGGGGTTGGCAAACCGGCTCCCGCGCCGTCCTCATCCTCATCCAGCTTAAGCTCTTAGCCGGCGTGGAAAAGTTAAACAGCTCGCAGTTCGTTGCATTTCGAAAGCGGGAAGTTCTCTCGTGGAGTTTGTGCACGACGCTATCTTGTTGCCAGGTTACATAATATGCTTGGCTGCTCTGCGGCTGTTCGTGATTGTAGGACCTACTACGCAGTTTCTCAATGAACCCGTTCTATGGCCTCGCGCCCATGCTTAGACTGCAGTGTAGACTTGCATGCGCTCTCTTGCAATAATATTTTCCTTTCGAAGCAACGCGGGCTTCCCTGCGCCGGCTAGCGGGCCGCACGCACGAGAGGCGCTTCAGATGGCTCGCGTTACTCATCGCGAAGGGCGCCGTGCAGCCCCAGCATACGATGGCGGCGGGAGCGCTGCGACGCCCTACGGAGGAGGAGGCGTTGCTGGGATCTGAATGCTCCGGGAGGGCGGCGGGAGCGGCTCAGGGACACGGCGCTTCAAGTGGTTCGCGCGAAGGCGATCTGGTATAGATTTCACTGCGGTTTACGATACGTGCTACTGCCGCTCGTGCACGATCGCGCGTCGCCTGTCGCCATGGAAACTCCTTTTTAAAGTTCACTGAGTCCTAGACTTCACACCTGCCCTGTGGAGGAGGTGCACGCAACACATTACGCATATGCAAATATTCGTGCGCGCGCACAATTACACGCGCATGTGACACGCACGCGCGCACACACACACACACACACACACACACACACACACACACACACACACACACACACACACACACACACACACACACACACACACACACACACACACATACATACATACATATGCAATCTTTTCCCTACCCACCTCTGTGTCTGTCTGTCTGTCTCTGTCTCTCTCTCTCTCTCTCTCTCTCTCTCTCTCTCTCTCTCTCTCTCTCTCTCTCTCTCTCTCTCTCTCTCTCTCTCTCTCTCTCTCTCTCTCTCCTAAACACAAAGGGCGCGAGAGCATAAGGGTGGGAGGAGGCTGCACTCGGTTATCTGTGCCACTCTCCATGGCAACACGGGCGGGCCGGCGTACGAAGCTTTTTGATAACGATTCTGAATCACGTGTTCGTGTGCATGTGTAACAGAAGGCGGGCGTTGGAGTATGCTGTGCTGCACGGGCGGCTGGGGAAAGGGCGAGGGAGGAGAGAGGCTGTGGGGGGAAAGAGGAAGGGTAGGTGTGGGGAGGGGGTCAGGGGAGGGCTGTGGGGAAAAGAGGGGGGGGGGGCGGGGGAGGACGTGGGGTGGCACCTCCAAAGCCGCGCCGATCTCTGGTATGCTTTAACGTGTTGAGCAGACGCGGGGCCTCTTGGTGAAACTTCGCAGAGGCGCCGCCACGATACAGGGGCCGGCACGAGGTAGGCGAGCGGAGAGGAGGAAAGCGAAGCACGGAAGGGAAGCTAATCGTTGGCGAGCAGCGTGGGCCTCCCTCGCCTCCCCGAGCCGAGGACCTAGAGCTGCGTCAGGGCCTGAAGCAAGCCCGGAACCACACGCCCCTCCAGGTGATGGCGGATGCCCATGCTTCCTCGCGAACACGTCCGTGATCAGGCGGCTCGGCCAACATACCCAGCGCCGCCTTGCAGTCTCACGTTTCAATTGCATAACGCTACCTGCTTGTCCTTCTGCCGGGCGCGCGAAGTGATACAGGCGCGGAGCAGGCTCTTTAAAGTCCGTCCGTCCGCGAGGCTGCAGTACGCCGTTCTTCTGGGCCAAGATTATCGACTGGGGGGGGCGGCCGAAAGCTGCATAATGAGGCGAGCCGGGGGGGGGGGGGGGCGCTGGGGTTGGGAGCCGCTGCCAATCGCTTGTCCTGCCGTTGTTTGTGGGGGTGGATTTTCTTGATTTTTCTTAGAGTGCGGACTTTGCAATGAGGTCATTTGGTTACCAGTCAATGAGGGCGTTGTAGCATTAGTGTGTATTTTATTGATAAACAAAAGAGAAAATTGTGGTGAAGCATATGAAGAGCATAACTCTAAGGCTCATGGACTCCAAGTTTCACTACGGGACAGGATGTAGCTCCTCTGTATTACTGTATCCTTCTTTGACTTGTGTCATGCATTTCAAAGGAAAAAAATGCTTCCGTTTTCTGGTAGTTTTGAAAGGTCATCCTCAAGGTCTCAGCACATTTAGAACACATCTTAAAATTGTAATGATGTTGCTATTTTGTGGCGAAATGCGAAAAAGGGAACATGGGTTAGATTTGCCCAATTCCCCTGCCTCATATCATTCAGTTGTTTGTACAGTGGAGTATTAGACCGTTTATGCCGTACTAGCTTTCAGTGTAAATCTCGGACGTCATTTGAATGTTCGAATCGTTTCACCTTTGGCATTCAAGTGAACTCCTTTCCCAGATGCTACGATGCGACTGCAGAACTTAAATAGCGTTCTCTCTTTCAGGATGGCGTGGAAGTCAAGGAGGAGCTGCCCAAGAAAGTCAGAGCGGAGGAGCTGCCGCCAGGGGGCCCTCTCCCCAGCAGCGTCGGCTACGACCCCATCGTGTGGTCGTACATGTGGCGACAGTATGCAGCTATGGCCCCTTCGTGGACCGCCACGCCCCTTGTTACGAGGGACGGCAAGGCATTACCGCCGCCCCCTCCTGCCTTCGTCAGGGACAGGTGAGGAAAGCAGGGCTGCAATGTTGCAAAAGTGTGTGTGCGAGAATGAGGGAGAAACGGAGGAGGAGGGGAGGGAAGAGGGAGTGGGAGAGGAAGGGAGGTGTGAGTGTGTGAGTGAGTGAGTGTGAGAGAGAAAGTGAAAAAGAAAGAAAGAAAGAAAGAAAGCCTGTCAGTCTACATTTCGGATCTAAATGCATGTGAAAGAGAGAAAGAGATAAAATGCTAGAAAGAGAGAGACCGAGAGGGGAGGGGCAGAGCGGAGCTGGGAAGGCTTTAGCGTGAAGTTATGATGTGTGAATGCTTTGGGTACGAAGGCCTCGCTCGCCGCCCAGGTATAGGCGAGGCAAGTCTGAAACAGGGAAGGTGAACGCACCGCGGTGGGCGCGAGGTGCTCGCACAAGGTCGCTCACAAGGGCAGCTAAATACGGCATTGAAGGAATGCCACGAAAAGTGTGGGATGTTGTGAAAGATACAAAGGCCGAGGCGGGAGAGAAGCCCTCCCTCTGGGTACGGCGTCGACCGTTCCGCCCGGAGTCATGACGAGAGGTGTTCCTTGACGCACATGCATTTTTCGTTCGCCAGTTACCATGCTAGTTTCAAACCGTAAAATAACACGTTACTTCCTCCCTTGGATGATTGCAAAACACCTTTTTATAGAGCAGAGACTCTGGAGAAGATTTGCTTGCTTTCTCCTTTATTTAAGTCGTGCGGAAGAATCAATATATTAAAGTATTTTTAAGATCACTAGTTGAAATGCTTTTTATAGAGCAGAGACTCTGGAGAAGATTTGCTTGCTTTCTCCTTTATTTAAGTCGTGCGGAAGAATCAATATTAAAGTATTTTTAAGATCACTAGTTGAAATGCTGTGTACGCCCTTGCTATGATCAGATCGATTAGAAATTGCATTAACAAGAACGTTCGCACTATAGACTTTATGGTTGTTCTCAGGAAATCGTACTAACAGGTTTTGTTTGTCCCCAGCGTCCCTGCCCCACTGCCAGCCTACTTGAGCCAGGGTCCCCCCGTGCTGGTCGACCCCGGCCGCGTGGTACCTCTCTCAGACTCACAGAAGTTCGAGCGCCATTACCAGCCCAACGTTGCCCTCGCCCCGCCCAAGGTCAGGGACAAGGCAGCCCGGGTGTCGCTCAAGGATCTCTCAACAGCACACCTAAGCCAAGATGCACACGAAAAAATCGCCATATATATGGTGAGTTTGCTTTGTAGTTTCGCTTCGTGTAGAATTGCCAGTCACTTTTGGTAAGCCTCGTTTTTTCAATTGGTGGTTATCCAGTTTAGTAAAAACATTGACGTGTTGAAAAGTCAGATTTCATTTTCTCTCAGAAAGTAAAGAACTCATGACGATTGTTGCGCCCTGGCGCACGGAATATACCCCGGCCTGCCACTGAACGCCCTTGCCTTTCCCGCAGCAGGAGCAGCAGCAGCTAGAAAGAGGCGTCGAAGTGGAGTGCATAAAGCGCGAGTGTTCGCCGACGCCGATGTGTCTCCAGCGCTCCACGCCCAACGCCGCCGCCCTCGCCGCCGTCACCCCGAGCGCGCCGCCGCACCTCAGAGCCACCCCGACGCACCAGCCGCCGCAGTCCCCCAGGAAGGTGTGCAGCCCCGACACGAGCAGCCGACACCCCGAACTCGAGCTGTCCACCACCGATTCCGACACAGACTCCGTTGGATCCGTCAGCAACCGAAGTGAGTTCCGTCGCCGGTTCGTTCGAGTTTGGCGGTAGAGAAACATAACTAGCTGGAGGAAAATAAGCTTGCATACAAAGGCGACAAAACTCAAGTGTTTCGTTGAACATTTCAGGTGAAACGGTGGAGGAGGCGGAGGCACTGCTAAGGGGCTGGAGCGACCGAGCTGCAGCCAGCAAAGTGGCCCAGCTGGTGGCCGACCTGGCTGCCCGGCTGGCGGTGCAGGAGCGCCAAAATGCTGCCCTCAGACAACGTTTCGATGCGCAGACTCGCGACCACAATCATGCCGTGGCCAGCCTACGCAATCAACTTCTGTCTATAAACGTTACTCGTGATACCAAGGTGAGAACTGAAAATAGTGATTAGGTGCGCTTGTTTCAAGTAATGGAACTAGTAAGTAAAGTCCATTGATCTCAGAAATAGACAGGTTTTGATTTGTATTTTAAAGCATTAGATATTCATGCTTGACGAACAAAATCTAATGACCTCCCTGTCTCCCGCTCCAGGAGGAAGATCAGCTCCGCCAGAAGGTTTGCGCGATGGAGGGCGAGCTGCGGGCCTTGCGTGCTGAGCTGCGCCCACGCCCAACCCCATCTGTGATAGCGCCCACCTCCCCCGTCAAGACTGAGCCCTGCGACGTCACCGACACGTGTTAGGCCGCCGCCTGAGCACTGGCTCGTGCTGTCCCCAGTACCGCAGAGATGGTCGCAGTACAAATGTGGCGCTCATGTGCCGTCCAGGCTGCCTGTATGTTGCTGCTGCTGCTGCTGATGCTAGGCACCTGGGCCCAGGCTGCTGCTGCGGACTCGTAGTCACAACGTGCTTGTGGCTGCGGGTGGCCGCCCCCCCCTGCTCGGTGTGTGCCGCAGGTGCGTGCCAGCGGCGAGGTAGGGTGGGGTCCGCGCCATGATCTCAGCCCGTACTCACCGCACGGGTCTCACTTGGTGCTACGCCACAGCCGTGTGTCGGGTGGTGCCACCGGCCGTACATGGTGCTCATGTGGGGCCGCTGCCCCTCTGGTGTTCAGAGGCTGTGTGGCGCCGCCCCGGCACCAGGACGCTCTGGGGGCCCTGTGGGGTGTCACTGCCCTCCAGGGTCCAGAAAAGCAAGTACAAACGCATAAGTTAAAGATTCTGCTTGTTGGGATGGTTAAATATAAAAAAGAATAATTATTTAATTGGTTTACTTTGTGGTAAGCCAACTGCCTGGTGAGTAGTGGGTGGAAGTGTCGTAGACCAGGCTGGTGCAATTCCAGTCTGGTTCACTCCAGCCCTGCTGCTGCCAACTTTATAACCACGCACGCCCGCACCACCCCAGTGATGACCGTACCCGCGTCAGCTATGCAGTGCTGAATCGAGTCAGATGTGCTTGAAGCATCTCACGTTGGTGGAGCGCCTGCTGAGCGCCGTGACCAGAGACCCACAGAACTTTGGCGCAGAGGCGCTTAAAAAATTGTTGCCACTTAAGAGATTTATAGTTGTACCAGTGAGGGCCTTCGGTCACGGCGTTCTTTTCGGCCGCTTATTTGTGTTCATCTATGTAACTAGTTAATTATTGATATGTGTAATGATAAAATCATTCACTATTATGTTATTTATAATTCTCTACTATGCTAGTACACGTGCAGCAGTGCGTGCGTGGGTGGAGGTGTCAGCATCTCCCACCCACCCACCCCCTCTCCCACCACACCACCCTGGCCTGGCGGTCCGTGCCAAGTTCATCTTGCCCCCCTAACTTACCCGTCATTTGTTTGTAATAAGTACATAAGGTTATTTAGGTGATTCGTCAAGCAAAGCTTGGTCTAGGATTTATTATTTTTGGTAGAACTGTCCCCCATGTTAGCCATGACGGATGTACTGCACCTGTCATGGGCCCTTATGTTGTAGCTGCCAGTGTAGGCTGCCCACCGGCCACCCACCGTGACCACCACCTTCCCTGGTGTCAGAGCTGTGGGTGACTGGTGAGCAGAGTGTGAGGTGAGTCAGCCACAGTACAGTGCGTGGGAAGGTTGTGATGCAGCGGACATGTAATGTCCGCGGCATATGATGACCGTTTGGCTGAGCCCTGCGTCACCCCTTCCCGCCGCCAAGCATCACCACCACCATCGTCGCCAGGCAGAACCACCACCACACAGCCAGGCGGATACACTGCGGCACACTCCCGCTGAGACACACTCCAGTCAGTTCCGCAGATGTGACATTCTTCAAAAACTGAATTTGTTTGTTATACTCAATGGGTGGCACTCTAAGTAAAATTGTGTCAAATACAGTGTTCTTCATTTTCCTCAATTAGAACAAAAAACAGGGTAAAATCAATCAACTTGATGTACAATTATTTTATTAGTAAATATTGCTTTACATAGGAAACATCTGTACCTCAAAACTATTTTTATTACATTTATCAAAATACTGTACTGACATTTGTCTGGGAATGAGTCCTACAGATGAAGGTGTATAACATATTTGATAACAATTACAGAAATTTAAGTAACAGTAATGCCAATTTATAAAAAAAGTACATATCATGAACGTTCTTTCGTTAAGCCTACTGCAGTCACACAAAATATGAAACAGTTTATGCTGAACACCTGATTATGCCCTCAATGGAAGAATTGCTTGGAGACCATTAGAATGCAGTTACAAGGTACAAAGGAAAATGAAAGAGGGCATAAGTATAGAGTTCGCCATGTGACGCAAACTCCTATTGTGAACAATATTATAAGTGAAATTAAGATAACGCTACGGAAAATAAAGGAGAACCCACTCAAACACTAAAGTATTTATGCATACATGTTTTAAGCACCAATGTTTCATTTTGTGTGTGTGCGTGTGTATGTGCGCGCATGCGTAAATGTAAGAGTAAATTGTGTGTGAGTGTGTAAGTATAATTGTTTGAGTAAGTGTAAGTACAACTGGGAATGAGTGTGCGTGTAAGTCTATGACTGTGTGTGCGTGTAAGGGAATGTGAGTGTGTGAGCGCAAGTGTGACATCCATTCGCTCAGTGTCCACAAACAGGAAATTTGGTCTCAAGGTTTTACCCTGCATTAATATTAGTTCATGAAAACCTCCTTCCTCCATAGCCTATTAACATTAGTTCAATAAGATCCTATGAATATCTTTTTATACTCAAGAATACTCTAGCCTAAACTACGTGGTTTAAATCTAACTAAACGAAGAATCGTACTTAACAAAAGAACTGAGAAAAAGTGAACAAGTGCCCCTCGTGGTGCACAAACACCAACCCCTAAATGTGCAGTTACCAAGTGGATGAATAACAGAATAACCAATATTACCTTCACAGACAATTTGGCAGTTATATGGTCATCGAAATATATTATACCTAAAATTAGAGAATTAACAATTATTACAACAGGTTCAATGAGATGAAAGCCTACACAGTAAACCTTGTTCGGGGCTGAGTCACATAAATATCGGACATGAAATGCAACATACATAGCTGCCAGAACGCGATATAAAGTTGGATAAATAGGCGGTTACAAAAAAAAAACAAAAAAAACATGATTACAAAATCAACTGATACTAAATAAAATGGAATGTACGGCATTTTCCCTGCACGACTTCGTTACAAACCTAATGGACCACTTTCTCCCTGATTAGAAGTAAAGGTTTCACTATAGATACAAATTTCCGCATAACTATAGCGGTAAACAATTCAAACAAACAAACAAATTACAAATGCACTATCAGCAAGACCTCTAAAAGAGCAAATTTGGCAAGATCTAAAACCTGTCACTTATAAGTCAACAAAACAGTAAGAGTTCTAGCCGGAGCATAAAATTGTAAGTACTATTGAAAACGATCCTCCCGGCTCTTCCACGCTCCCCGGATACATCGGGGGTTGAATTACATTCAGAGAAGCAAAGTGGTCCTAAGTACCTGGAAATGGGAAAGGGATAAGAAACTTCACAGAAGCTTCTGCTGCTTAAAAACGGGCACTGGTACTGGTAAAACAGAGGAGGGATATAAACAGATTAAACTGTGTATTTACAAACTGAAAATAACAAAATACTGCCCCAAACTTGGATTAGTAACACCCAACATGTCTGCCATGAAGCTCGTGTGCTCGCATACAACATACTCGCGTCCAATACACACAAGGCATATATATATCTAGAGCACAGAATCTTCACCAGCCACCAGAAAACAAACACTATTGTAAGTGATGAAGGCCCAATGATTTGATTCACTAAAGTCTATCGACTAAGAACACTTTTCCGTTTCACAAGTACATTCTAAAATATCTGATTATGATTTATCACATGAGCAGTGCGGTTCATACACTCTATATAAAAGAATATAATCGATGCATTCTGTGTGAAATTTCCCTTGAAATCGCTGAATACTAACCAACAAAGGCCAATTAGGGCAAGAATGAACGTGCTTCCTTGTAAAAAGCCGCTTTTATAATACAACTTCAGACACAACGTAGGGTGTAAAATGACACATGTAAATCAGTTAAAGGAAAGAAATGACCCTGAGGACTCCAACGCTAATGAACGAGTAGGATGACGCACGGTGCATGAGGCTCGGCGGAGGCCATGCACTCGCCCGCTCTCGGACTGAGCCGGAAGCGAAATTTCCGCCAGACACAAATAGACCTCCTGCGTGAGCTCCCGAGATACGCAAAAAGGCAGACGGCGCTCGAAACAGTGCCAAAGACGATGACAGGTTCTTGAAACGTTTGAAACAACCCTGTGAGTCAGATTTCATAACCCAGTAGCATGGACCCTTAGAAAAAAGCACCCTTGTATGAAACCGGTCTGCCTCGCCACTTTCGCCGAGTCACTCACACACCATCACATACAGGCAGGCTCGCAGCAGGAGTCACCCCTCGGCAACACTGGCTGCGAGGGACGACGCCGTGCGAGGCTCAAGTCTCCCAAATTCTTCCTTACAAAAAAAAGTCTGTTCCTGCCCCGCTAACCCAAACCTTCACAACCATGATAGCAAAATCTACTTCCGCGAATATATTTAACGGGATCAGCTTCCACAACCATGAAATGCGAAAAAAAGAAAGAAAAGAAAAGAAGAAAAAAAAAAAAGCTGCCAGTAACAATCGTTTCTTTCCCCACCCCAAACCATGCGCCCCACAGAGAGTGCGCGAGTTAGTGGTTCCCGGGTACCACTCGACCACGAGCGAGCAGGGAACGAGCAGGCAAGCAAAGCGGGTCGGATCAGGGCGGAGCTGGTGGGGGGGGGGGGGGGGCTAGGGATGGGACCTGCAAGGCGGGGATAGGGGGGAGGGGGAGCGGAGCCTCCAACCGCTTGTTGCCTCATCAGGGCAGCGCACACTGGAACCTGCCATCCCAACGCCCCTACCCCCCCCCTGCCCTCCTGTCTCCGCCCATACCACACGCCACGCGCACCCACACCCGTGCGCCGCCGCCTCCCCCGCCCTCGGGCCAGGCGGCGCGCTGCTGCCTCGGAACACGGCGAAGCACTGCGCCCGCTGCTGACACCGGGCATGCGCTCTGGGCCCGAGTGCTTTGTTAGTGTTTTGTCTGTGGACGTGTGTGCGTGAATGCGTGCATACCTACTTGCATACTTATATATCAACCTGCATATATACACACACGTATATATATAAATATATATGTGTATATATATAAATATATATGTGTATATATATAAATATATATATATATATATATATATATATATATATATATATATATATATATATATATACAGAAAGACAGACACTCACGCACACAATTTACGAGTTTTCATGCATGTTTTTATCTTTAACTGCCAATACAGCGCGAGCTTCGCTTCCTCGCTCTCCGGGGCATGAATGCACGGCAGGGCGCCTCGTGCAGCGCCGTGCATTCACGCGCGTTGCAGGAGAGGCAGGGCTGCGTGGCCGACCGGCGCCTGGATCCCGGCCACGTGGGAAGGAAAAAAGCGGACGGCCGGAAAGAAGACGGGGTGAGCGCGTTTACAAAAAGGGAGATAAGAAAAGAAAAGAAAAGGAAAAAAGAAAGAAAAAACGGCGCGGGAGTGAGGTGGCAGGGCGGGGGGGGGGGGGGGGGGGGGAGCGAGGGAGTGCGGATGAAGCAGGTGACAGGCGGGAGGCAGGAGAGGAGAGAGGGAGAGAATGCAGGCGTCCCCGAGGCCGGTCCTGCGTGCATGCGCGTGAATCCTACGCCTCGCTTCCTTCGCCTTTCGATTCCGACCCCCACATTTTGTTTTATATCTTCATGAGTTCTAAAAGCTGCAAACCAAATAAAATGCAAGAGAAAAAAGCGTACTCTTCCCGGGCGGATCTGCCGTCCCGGTAGCGTCCGAGGGCGTCATGATCGTCTTCGGTCTGGACGGCGGGCTCGGGTTACCTCGCAGTCCCGCGGGCGGTCCGCGCGGCCTCCGACAAGCATGTGCGCTAACTTACGCCAACGAATTGCACTCCCGAGAGCTCGCACGCCGCCCGAAACAGAGGAACGCCCACGGAGGAAAGGCTGCTCGAGGAAGGCTGCGGCGAAGATCGAGTCTCCGGTGTGCGCGCGCGCATGCATATACAGTACATGCACTGATACGCACGCGCGCACATATACGCACAAAAGGAAGAAAGAGGGAGGGAAGGGGGGTTAGGGGGAAGGGGGTAGGGGAAAGGGGAGGGTAACGAAGGGAAGGGATGGAAGGAGAGAGGGGGAGGGAGGGAAGGAAGCCAAGGAGTGTATGCGAGTTGTGATTATCGAGGCGGAGAAGTAACTCGACCGCAGTCTCCTCAGATGGGATAATCAGATCTGCTTCCCGCAGTCGACACGCTAACACCGGCCATGAAACCGTGCCCTTCCTCACGCCGCCGCGCGTCCCGTGGACTGCCTTGGCTGCATTAGAACGAGATTGGACGCCGGGACATGGAACCTACGGGGCAAGAGCATGCGGTATGCAGATCCGAGACCCGCAGGGAGGCGCCGGGTCGCCTCACGCACGGGGCTTCGCTTATCACGGGAGACAAGCGTCTTACGCACACATTTCCCGCAGTCCCCGTGGGAGCTGTCTTCGCGACGGGGAGGGGAGTGCTACAGAGGGGGGGGGGGGGGGGAAGCAAGAGCATAAGTGGGAGGAGGAGAAAGGCCAGAGGAGAAGGTAGTGAGAGCAGATGGTGAAACCTTAGAGCATGGTATGGTTCAGGCCAGGGGGGAGGGGGGTAAAGGGGAATGCTGGGGGAGGGGAGGGGCGCCTCAGCCATTCAATTTGACAAGCGCCCTCGAGGGGCCTCGTGCTTTCTTGCTGTTACAATCCCCGTGGCGGCGACGGACGAGCGGGCGGCGTGCACACTACCTGAAAGCACTCCGTTGCTGCCCCGGGGCGGAGGTAGACCCCGTGACCCCGTGCTGCTGAGACCGAGCGGACCAGCGCCTTCGGTCCTTGCCTGCATGCTCACACGCCCCTGCGGGCCGCCCATACCCTTTCCCCTTTCCTTTGTCTCTTCCCCGCCCCTTGGGCATCCGCACCTTGTACTGAACGCGAGAGCCGACGCCCGACCGAGCGCTGGCGTCGCAAACAGGCGGCGGGCGGCGTTGGTTCTCACGGCAGCTCCAACCCGAGCGCCCCACCCACGCCCGCGCTCGGAGCCCGAGAGGCCTGGCGCTCACTCTACGATTCGCAGAGGCACAGCTGCTCCCCAATACAAGTCAAGACTTGCATGACTTGGCACATGTTACGTCAGTTTCAAAAACCTATTCAGTCATATATAAACAGCATGGGCGGCGAGCACTAGCTGCACCGTGAAAGGATTTGCTGCCGCCGGCCACGCCTGCACTCAGCAGCCTCCACAACGAAGCTGCACTGCAAGTAGCTGCGCAGTCGCCGCACACAGAGGCTGAAGGGCCTCCGTCGCAGCTGGAGCGGCCGAGTTAGTTTTATTCACAGAAATATTACATCAACGGAGCTGATCATCCTGGTTCTGATGGACGTGAGGTAGCTGATCGCTTCAAGGTGCGTCTCCGTCGGCGAGGACCGCTGCCAGCCAGTCGAGCGCAGGGGCAGGCAGCTCGGGCCGCCAGCCGCGCCAGGTTCCGCCGGCCCAGCGAGCGAGGGGCAGCCGACCGCCC